TTCTTTCCCTCCTGGCCCATAATCTAATGTTTTAACTGACTGAATTTTCCCCAATAGGTTTTATGTTAGTTGTTTATAGGTTCTATTAAACTGACGGCTGTCAGGCCTGGAACTTGCTTGTGAAAATGTGATACAGTTTGTTTTTTGATACAACAAAGACAGTAATGTTCTCCAGCAAAAGCAGAAGAGATCTGAGAGAACAGATTCCCATCAACTACCTTAAACTGGGGAAATGCTGTATTCGTGGGTGTATATATATGTATATATATATATATATATATATATATATATATATATATATATATATATATATATATATATATATACATAAAATATGTAGCCCTGTTGTAATTTGAAAGCAAGTCAGCTGTCAAGACGTTAGTAATAGTACCAACTAAAACTTCTTAAGTTCCCACCAGCTCAGTAACAAAAAGAAAATACAAGTACTGTCCCCAAGTGAATTTAGAATGATTATTCCATGTTATCTTAATTAAAGACAACTTCTCACCAGACTAGGAAGAAGACCATATGAAGTAAGAATGATATCAGTGCTGAAGGTCAAAGTCTAATTTAACCAAATACAGTATCACATTTAATCAAAACCATTTCCAAGAGATCTTCACAGCAGAACGTTTTACTTACATCTCTGGCTTTGCCGTAGAAGGCCTCTTGAGACGCTGCCTCCAAAGACCCAATATAGAACATCGGGTGGGTCTCTCCATATCTGATACACAGATAACAACCAGACAGTTCATTGTTTAACACAGTACCTCCATAAAGGATGGGTTCCTCTGTAGATTGATCTTACTATCATCAACTGACAAGATGCCCACCTTGAAGAAAATTCGGCAGTAAAGTAAAGTAAGGCATCCGCTTCGTTCTCACTGTTTTCTGGCACTGCAAGATAAAGGACTCAATCTGTCAAACTCTGAATGCTTGTTTTCAAACCATAACTATGATTGTGGAGTAAAAATAAGAGCCTGATTAGGGTTTTGAAGCAAAATATTTTATACATACTCATAGGTGATTTCCGACAGCTTGACGAGGTCATTCCAAACATTTCTGAATCATCCACCCCAAATTCTGACGCATCTTCGTAATCGTCCCCCTCACTGTCACTGATCATATGGACATCTGTACACTAAAGAAACAAATCTTTATATTAGAGTGGGTTAACATGCAGGTAACTACTGGATAGGTACTGTAGAGAAGTGAGGACTGGGTTTGTTTGTTTCCGCCTATGTACCTCATCTGTTGGTTCCTGGGCGTTAGCTGGTGAAGACCTTCGACAAACACTGAGGCGATGGCAAGGATAGCTGATTCCAGACAGAGCTAACGTCATCTAAAAGAGGCAAGAGCACCATTAACTTTAACAATAACATTTACTTCACACATAAATCAACCAGTTTAAACAGAATAAAGTATGTATAGAACAAATTAAAATACAGAGTAGAGTTCAAGGTCAGTCAGACTGGATGGAGATAAACAAGGATTAGCATCTTTCACCATTTTTTTTTTAATCTTTCCATAAGCATCAACAGGACTCATTTTTGGAGAATCGGCCCTGCTGGAAGATTAACCTACATCATATTCAAGTGGTTTAAGGTTTATGAAAGGGTTCCATCAGGTTTGCCCAAAATGTATTCTACCAAGCCATTATCAACTTTGACCAACTTACCTGTCCTTTCTTTCAAAGGAAACCGTTCCCACAGCACGGTGGTGCTATCACCATATGAAACAGAGAAGATCTTTCGTATGTAAACCAAAAACTTCCGTTTATTTTAAATGACCCAAAAAAAAAAAAATAATACATTTTCCAAACTGGTTCGTTTGCATGCCTTGTGACAAACTGTAACAAACTGGTTTATGGCTTGCTATTGAAAAATCACTCTTTGCTTTCTCTTTTTCCAAATTTGCTGAATTTACAGTTCAGTGTCATCCTATTGATAGATTCTCCTTCCTAAGGTTTGGAGTTCTGCGGTTCCTCCAGAGTTAGAAGTGATTTCTTGGCTGATTATCTGAATATTATTTCCCTAGCATATCCTGTCAGTTGAACAGAACGCCTAAAAGAACTGAATAGCTTTCTAACCTATCCTTGCCTATACAAAAACTGTCTGCTGGTCCTTATTTACTAACGTGCTCCAACCTCTGACGCCTTCACAGAACAACTGCATTTATATTGAGATTAAATTGACTACCGTAATTTTCGGACTATTAGTGGGACACCTGAATATAAGCTGCAGAAGCTAAATTGCATGATTTGTACATATACAAGCCGCACCGGACTATAAGCCGCAGGTTTTTTTATGTTTAATGTCTGTCTTTCTCGCTGTCGTTCTGTCTTGTACCACTCGCGGTAGAAGTCTGCTTCCGGAGGACCTCCGTATTCCCTCGCGGCTACTGTACTTGTGTGTTGGAGCAAATGTGTTGTTAACATGGTGGATAGTAAAATCCATAGATTTAGGTATTACGCTAGTGGCTGTTGGCTGTAAAAGTCCATAGATAAGCCGCATTGTTATAAAAGCCGCAAGGTTGAAAAATGGGGAAAAAGTCACGGCTTATAGTCCGAAAATTACGGTATTTACTAAATGGATGACTTCCAAAACAACAGATTGCTAAGGGTTTTGTTTAGGGGTATCGGAGTAAAACAGGCCAATCGAAAATGCAAGCAACATGTTTCTGGTTGTTTGTAAAAAGGTTTAAAAACCTCTTCTCATTTGATTCTTTACTGTCTGTATCTATATTACATTAATAGCATTGAATGTTAGATGATTGACAAATGAAAGGGGTGGCTTTAACATAAAATCTGAAAAAGTCTGAGCAAAAGAACTGCTTCCTAATACAATGGATACACTCATGGGTGCCTGGAAGAGTCATAGTACATATGACATTTCTAATGCCACTAAATCAAAAGCATGGTTTTCACCCTAATGAGGACTTCCATGTGGTTTCTGAACACCTGCAACAGCCGCCATTGAGGCTCTATGTCTTTAGAAAAGGAGCAACCGACTAATTAGCTCCCAGACCCAAAGCCAGCATTGAAAATATTGGCATTCAGCGGGGACTCATTACATCTAGTATCTGCTGGTTTAACCTCCAGGGATGGCAACAATATAGCCAAGAAACTTTGGTGTTATTTGAAACCAAAGAAAGTATGTAACCATCAACATTTACAGGTAATGAAGAGACTTTTTTTTGTTTTGTTTTTAATGAACAACACCTAAAAGAAGGATTGTTTATTGTGTAAGCATGTGTCCCTGATTGTTGTTATACTGCACAATAATGTAACAATATGTTCACTGTTTGACTTTGTGTTAAAAGTCCACCACAAAGACCAGATGTAAAGACTTTTCTGGGAGAGTGCACTTCCAAACAACAACAGAGACACACATCACCCATACTGAGTGTGATAAGGGAAAAGCAGAAGCTGGGCGTCCCCTGCAGAGGTCCTGTGATCTGTTCTATTGTCAGGTGCAAAGACACACAAAGAGCAGCTGGACACGGTTGAATCAAGAGACGATTACATGCAACGCCAATTGAATCTGAAAAGGAACGAAGAGGCTGAACAGAGCTGTTTCACAGAAACTAAGCGACTGCCCATGATGCCCTCAACTTCTACAATAGGAGAGATCAGTGTAGCCAGCAGACCTTGAATGCAATATGGACCCAGATGTTCTGCTGTTTGACTAGAACTAATAAATAAAACATATCTGCCAAAGTTCTCATCTTTCTGTAATGTTTTTTGCACTAGTTAATATTCTTTGATTGTTGAAATTCAAGTCAGCAGCAGGCAAACTCAGGATGTTTACTCTTTTATAATGATCCTTAAGAAGCAAACAACTTTTTTTCTGAGGTCTTAAAAAACATTGACTGAGAATACATTGAAACCACTTCTAATATTGACTTGTGTCGATCTCTCCTTAGTCATTATTAAAAGAGAAGAAAAGCAAGTATTACTGATGCCATCTATGAAACAATAATATCCAGATGCAGTCATCCCTATGTTGTCTTAAGCACATTGGCTGGACTGGACTAATATTTAAGCAACACAAACCCAGTAGATTACCAACGATGGAACACGCCAACACAAGACTACCATGTTATAATCAGTAAAGGATATATGTGTTGGACTATAACAAGAATGACAAAAAAAAAAAATTGGACAAAAAAATACTTTGGCTCTCATTTGTTTTTGATTAGTAGTAAAGACAAGCGAGGATGGTCGCCTATAGCTCAGCCTAATTCGTATAAACCTGCTAATTATTTCTTATACATGCATGAACATGTACATGAGTGAAAGTTCTTGATTATTATCGCTACCAAGACTTAAAAATGAAAAAAGTACAGATAATAAGAATAATCGCAAATTAAACAGGTAAGCAAAAATGAAAGTTGCCGATATCTTGTAGTTTTCACTAAAAACCGACCATGACTGAGAATTATTTTTGGCTTTCTTGAGATAA